GTGGAATAAAAGTTGAAAATAGTTAGTGGGAGAAAATATTAAGCATGAGGCCTTGATGTGGAGGTCATTGATGAGTGCTGTGTTTAGACTGAGAGGTCTAAGTATGGAGTTGAGCTGGTTGAGTTGGTAAAGTTGAGATGGTTAAGCTAATAAAGAGTTTAACAATGAGTGTAAATTATGAATATGAGTTTGTAGATGGAAAAATTTCATGAGTATTTGTGGTCGAAAGGCCTTATAGGGCTAATCGAAAATATAAACTAGTATGGGTATTGCTAGTTTCGTATCACAAAGAGAAAGATATAGTTGTGAGTACCTAAAAAGAGGTGAAGACACGTGACAAGGAAAAATAAAGTATATGAGTATAGAATTTAATGTGAGTCGTAATTGTAGGACACGACAAAGTGCCTTTGAAACTAGAAAGTATGTGCTTGGGTGAAAGCCAAGAAAACAACGAAATGATAAGAGTAGTAACAGTAATAGAAAGAAATGGTTGTTGGGGTATTGTGAAAACAGCGAGGACATCGAAAAGAGTTAAGTACTAAAGAACATGTGAGTTGGAAATACTCCAGGAATAACTAGTGAATGTGCATGAGAACGGTTAGAGCCTAGTATGAAAACGATTAGGTGCTTTTGAGAACGACCATGGGTCAGAAGGATGGATAAAGATGAGAATGAGGTAAATTGATACCGACAAATCCGTAATATGGTTATATTATTACCTACAAATCAGCGAAAGAGAAACGGTAAACCAGAGAAAGTTTAAAGTATTGGGAATTAAAATGTCACAGAACCATGAGAGACGAGTAATTATGAAGGATCAAAGGATAATGAGTATCATAAAAAGGAGATCATGCTTGTGATAAAAGTAATATGGTAAAGATACACACTTGAGGATGCTACTTGGGAGCGGGAGGATGAGATTCTCCGACTGTGTCCTGAGTTAGCGGGTGAGTATGATTTAATTTTGCGGACAAAATTCTAAAAAGTTGGGGTGAATATAACACCTCACAACTTTAAATCAAGTAATTAAAATATTAAGTGAGCAATCAAGTGATGGATTAGTGAAAATCCAAAAGATTAGGCCAAAATACAAAGAAAGGGCAAAACGGTAATTAGCCAACACGCAACCCTAGGAAGATAAAAATTGAGTAGAAGGTCTCAGATGGTAAAAATAACCCTGGAAATGGGTTCAGAACGAAAAATTGAGTGGACAGGCAAGTTTCAGAAAAATCAGTGAATAGTGTTTTTCGCGGGTAAAAATACCGCGGTACGATTGCACCGTAAAACGTGCCGATTGAGTTTTGAGCTCTAGGTTTCAAATATGAGTTAAAAATGGTCTAATGAGTTAGGAAATATGATTTCTTATAATATTCGATGAAATTAAGACAGTTTGGGGAAGCGTGCCAATGGCACGCATAATAGCTTAAAACAGTGTTTTCTCCGAACGAATGGAGGACTCTTAATTCATCTGATCAAGAGTAATTAAAGGGGAATAGTTAATGTTAAAAATTTGAGTTTCTAAATAGGTTGTGAATTTACGGACGTTTAGTGGAATCGGAGGAAAATTCGGATTAGTTTTAAATCGCGTGAGGTGGCGGTGGGACCCACCCCACTTAAGTGACTTAAGCCACATGTGCTTGGCACTATTCATGCATCACTTTCCTCCCTCTTCTTGCTCAAACCCGCAGCCACCATAGCCCTTCACCTCCAAGATTTCATTTCACCATAACTTAGCCATTTCTTCACCAAATCCATTGATTCTTGTCTTGAAATTTGATGGAAATGGCCTTCTAAATCCATTGGTGGTACTCCCAAGCCTTGAAAGCCACTAGATTTTGAGAAAAACCCTCCCCAAAGCTGCGGCCCTTTCCTTTAGATTTGTGAAAATGGTGTTGATTGATGCTCCAATGGTGGAGTATGTTTAGGAGGAGCCTTGTGCCAAGCTTTTGGGTGAGTTTCCTTGTGTTCCAATGGTTTAATTTTGTGGTTGAATTTATGAACCCTAAAGAGGGCTTGTTGGATTGATGTGTTTAGAGAGCTCAATTGGAAAATGTTTGTACATGAATGTGTCTTAGAATGATGTGTAGTAGCCATAAATGCAATAAAAATTATTGATGAAAAATGTAAATTTTTAACTTAGAAAATTTTGAGGTTGTCATGACTTTGAGTTTTGAAAATGTGTTAGGATTGGATTGATGAGTTGTTGTATGATTGTATGTTGATATAATAGGATTGTATGAGGTGTGGAATGATTAAAGTTGTATGGAAATTCCTTGGAATGCCATAGGGTAAAATTCGATTCTTTGAGGAAAGATTGAGGAATTGATGTTGAAAAATGATTTGGATGATGATTTGTGTAGTTATATGGTGCTTAGATGGGTTGTGTTGTGCTTGGAGAGTGTTTGAATCAATGGAAAAAAATGAATTGTGTTAGAGACCTAAATGAGCCCAGAATGAAATATTTCGCAAAACGATGCGTAAATGTCGGAAAACGGAAAAACGACGATTGAACTAGCCTCTAAACAACCTAAGGGAGTGTTATAAAATGAGAAAGAAAATTTAGAAAAATAAATCTCACATTTACACTACAATGGCCGAACCATCAAGGGAGGATGGGGAGGATTTTTGTGTTTTTGCGTTTTGATACTATTTGACGAGTACTGATGGATGTACGTTATTGTATAGGTTGCCGTACGTCGACCTGAATCCCGAATCTTGAATCAGTGAATTGCCCTTGGTCCGGGACCAAGTGGATTGAGGTAAGAAATTGGTTCATTGCATGTGTAATTATAAATTAACATGTATGGGTTGAACTGAGAGTGATTGGGAATGTCCTCTGTGTAGGCATTCCGCTGTGTACCGAGTTGAGGGATAAGCTGCTGCGGAGCTTGTGGAAACACGATTTAAGGTAACCTCTTGGTACTGGGGCTTGTTCCCCTTTTCTGTTCCACCTTGCCAGTTGATGGCAACGGTAGGAAGTGTGTATGAATAGTATAGAACACATGAGCATGCATGCATTATTGCTATGGGTACTGCAGTACCGAGTCTCTGGCCAGTAGACAGTTTTATTAGCCTTCGGGCATTTTCGGACTTCCGCTGGATAGGTCTCCAGGAGGGAGTTCCAGTTGACTGCGGTCATGGTGTGTGATCCGGGTAGGAGCACACTAGGAATGTCTTTGGCGTTTTGGTTGGTTTGGGCATCATGGTTGTGGTTTCTGTGAACACACCTTGGATGATACCCATAGGCTTATATATGCCGAGGGCGTACGTGGAATTGGGGTTACCATCCCGTATCGTCGTATTTTGTTTTCTTTATATTCCCCATTCTCTAAACCCCTTGCTATATCCCGTTTTCAAAGTGGTTGTTGTATTCTATTGATATTCATCGAAGTGAACCATTGGGTGGAGTTTTCTCCAGAACCTCTTGGTTACTGAGATATATTCGTATATCTCACCCCGTCTCGGGGCATTTATTTCAGGAGGTAGCAGTGGAGCAGGAGCCTCAGGCAAGAGGCCCGCAGAGTGAGCGATGGAGCGTTTCTTATTTTGCATTTTGTTGGCCGTGTGGCCTAGGCTAGACTTAGGGCATGAACATGTCATTTGTATTTATTAGTAGCTTCATTAGCATCTTGTTCATGCCATTTTGCCTAAGTCTAGTAGTGATGTATTTGGTTATGTTGTCTTTTAAATTAAGTTGAAATTTTAGAAGAATGTAATTTGAAGTTTTAGTTTCAAGTTGTAATTTGTAAAGCCATATTGTAATAGTATTGATGCATGTCTAATTATGATGGAAGGGCCTTAGGCCTATTTTAGGTTATGATAATATGTATGATGGAAATATGCATGAAAAAGGTGTTAGTGATTGCAACTACTTAAGAATGATTAATATGGACTCTATGTTTAATAACTATAAACTGGATTGGGTTGTAAGTGCCCCAAGGCGTTGTTGGTCCTTGTGTGTGCCACCCATTGGATTATTACTGTATTATCATGTGTTTATTAGGTACATTTGAGGTTTAAATGATCTTTTACAAATTTGGGATTATTGGAAAAACAAAGGAAACTCTGGCGAATTTTCTGTAGAATTGGCAGATTTTAGGCAAACTTCGGGAGAGTATATCTCCCTCCATAGAAGTCCTCTAGGGACGTGCCATACGCCATTTTGAAGGTTGAGATGTCCTCTACCTTGTGTCAAAATTTGAGGAAATTCTGGGTTGATCTTCGGCCTGAAAAAATTAGAGAAACACGGACTGCCCATGTGCCCCTGCACCTGAGGCAGATTCTGGACCGGATTTGGGAAATTAATTCCCGCTTCGTTTCTCCGCCAAATTAAGCGTGTGATATATCAAAATGAAATTTTAGATGTCTAGTTTGTAGGATAAAAATTTGAGAGAAAATGGTTGAGTGGATTGAGTGCAGTAATTCGAGCAATGTGAGTGGTTTGGAGCTGTTTTTGGGGTTGTTTGGGCTAATTGCTTATCCAACTTCAAACGGCGATAACCGGAGCAAATGAGCTCCGAATTGAGCGTATGTTAGCTTGTTAAAAAGGGAATTAAGTAACACAAAGATATAATCTGAGAAGAAGGGTTGGTTGCGATCGGTTTGGTCGCAGAAAAACGTAGAGTGAAACATGTTCGAATTGGAAAAAAACGTAAAGTTGGAAATTGGCTAAGTGAGTTTATGGGAACTCCTTAGTAACTTATAATAAGTAACGTAAGTGATAAAAATAGTTTAAATAAGTCTTCTGCAAGAGTTTACGGTTACAGTCACAGCTTTTAATTATTACGCTTTTTATGATTTAAATGCTCGCGTAATAGTCGGAAAAAATTTATTCTCTTTTTTTAAATGAACTGCTGTGATTGTAACTGCGCTTAATATCATAATTAATGTTAACAATACCGGTACGTAACGGGCTGTTACAGAGGACATTCCCAATTACTTAAAACTCATACGAACACATGCAAGTTACCAATCATATATGCATTATTCCAATCACTTACCTTAATCCCACTTGGTCCAAGATCAAGGGCAATCCACCGACTCACGGTTCGAGGTTCAAATCAACGTACGACAACCTACAACAACCATGTACGAATCATCAATACACGGCAATTCTATCAGAATACGAAAAATGTCAAAAACCTCCCCTACACTATGTAGGTTCGGCCCTAGTAGGATTATTTTCCAATTTATTTTTCTAAATTTTCTTTCTCATTTTATTAGGAATCCTTAGGTTACCTAAAGGCCAATTCAAGTGCCACTTTTCATTTTACGTCTTTTAAACGTCGTTTTGCCTAATATTTCGCTCCAGGTCCAATGAACCACTCAAAACTCTCAACTATTTTTTCTATTGGTTTTCCAACCTTCCAACCACCACACAACCCATCTAATTACCATTTAACACATGATACATCATCCAAGCAAAGTCAACAACATCCAATTCCTAATTTTCCCTCAATAGCCGAATTGTACCTCAATGCCACCCCAAGGAATTTCAATCAATTTTAACCACTCCACACCTCATGTAATCCCATTATAACAACATACAACATACCACAATCCCATTACACAATCCTAACAACAATTTCAAATCCAAAGTCATGACAACCTCAAAATTTTCTAAGTTAAAAATTCACATTTTTCAACAATAATTTTTATTGCATTTATGGATACTACACGTCATTCTAAGACACATTCATGTACAAACATTTTCCATTTGAACTCTTTAAACACATCAATCACCCAAGCCCTCTTTAGGGTTCATAAATCCAATAACAAGATTAAACCGTTAAAATGCAAGGAAACTTACTCAAAAGCTTGGCACAAGGTTCCTCCTAAACATACTCCACCATTGGAGCATCTAGAAACTCCATGAACACAAATTTTTCAAGGTGAGCCGCGGCCTTTGGGGAGAGATATCTCAAAAACTAGTGGCTTTCAAGGCTTAGGAGTACCACCAATGGGTTTAGAAGGCAATTTCCATCAAATTTCAAGTCAAAGATCAAGGGATTTGGTGGAGAAATGAGGTGGTTAGGAGCAAATGAAATTTGAAAGAAAATGGTTTCCTTGGGGGGAAGGGGCCGCGGGTTCTAAGAGAAGAGGGGAGGGAGAGATGATGAATAGTGAGGCTATGCACATGTGGCATGTCATACTTAAGTGGGGTGGGTCCCATCGTCACCTCACGCGATTTTAAACTTATTTGAATTTCCCTCCTATTCCACTAAACGTCCATAATTTCACAACCTATTTAGAAACTCTAATTTTTAACATTAACCATTGTCCATTAATCATACTTGATCAGATGAATCCAGAGTTTTCCGGTCGTTCGGAAAAAATGTTTTAAGTTGTTGCGCGCTGTAGGCACGCTTCCCCAAACGTACTTATTTCCATCAAATTTTATCAGAAATCATATTCCCTAGTTCTATAACTCATTTATATCTTGTATTCAAATCTACAGCTCAAAACTCAATAGGCACGCTTTACAGTGCAACTGTACCGCAATATTTTTACCCGGTAAAAACACTATTCACGGAATTTTCTAAAACTTGTTTAACCACTCAATTTTTCGTTTTTAATCCATTTTCAGGGTTATTTTTATCATCTGAGACCTTCTACTATATTTTTATCTTCCTAGGGTTGCGAGTTGGCTAATTATCGTTTTGCCCTTTCTTTGTATTTTTGCCTAATTTCAGGATTTTCACTAATTCTTTCCTTTAATTCTCATTTAATATTTAAATATTAGATTTAAAAATTGCGAGGTGTTATACATTTATTTTTAATATAGTTCATGCCATACCACACAATTTTTAAAACTTATTTAACACCCTATCATTAGACCCTTAATACTACTTAGTTAACACCACTAACTCAAATGAATATTTCTTACTTCATCAAGGTTTGTCCTACCCCAAAATCACTTGAAACCTACTTAATTTCAACTAGAAAATGCTATTCAACATTTAATTGAATTGAATTTGCATTTCATGGCACTTTAAGCATCACGACCGAAATGCAACACCATGATTTCATGCATTTCATATGTCATCATCAATTAGTCCAATTGATAACACCATATATGACCTAATTCACAAAAACCTTGAACTTAGATTAATTATCACTTATATATAATCTCACATTATACGTTAGGTTATACACTTTCTCACCATATAATATACAACTTTATTAGTGTGATTCACCTTACACATTATCATGTTCAATAACTCATCATGATATTAAGTTAACTTCAACTCTTACATCATTTTTCCTATATAATCAATTTGGCACATCAATGTGTTCAATGATCTTCTCATCATTTTATTCCAATTACACCATGTTCCATCTTGATTCACCATATCAAATGAACACTAAACAACACTTACAAACAAAGTTATGTAATTCTACACCAATTAACCTATATAGGCCAAATTGCCTACATAGTTGTTTTACATGACTTATCCATTTTCTTTCATTATAAATCATTTTGTTTAATACTTAAACATGTTCTAATCATCTCCTAAACAAACTTTCACGGTCAACTATCAATCTTTTCCACCTTTAAGGTGTATGGCCGAATGGCAAATATAAAATCCATGACTTTTCCTTTTTAAATTCCATTATCTTTTCATGAAACCAACCATCATTAAAACACCTTAAAACCCTAGTTTCACTTAAGTATTTTTTTTTTTTTTTGATAACATTCACTTAGGTATTTTATCAAATACATAGAGTGCATAATTTAACCTCACTTGGATGATTCATCCCTTGCACATATATCAAACCCTTTATTTCATTTTAAGAATTTCTATGCATAGTTTTACATAGATTCAACAACCAATGATAAAACAACATCAAACCACATGAAATAACTTCATATGATCATGATATATTCAAACCCTAATCAGCCATCAACATCACCATACAATAACTTTCAGCCACCAAAATGAAGATGTATTACCTGTATAGCTTCTCTATGAGCTAAGTAGTCTTTCCACTAATAAAACTCCAAAAACATCCACTAAACCTTCTTAGACAGCATGTACGCCGTTGCACTTGGGAGGGATTTTCTCTCAATATGAATCTCATCAACAAGAAAGGGATGAAGATTTAGAATCACAAGACCTAAAGTTACAACTTTTGTATAATAGGTTTTTTCTAAAAAAAAGCCCAAATCTTCTTGAACTTCCTTGTTCTTTGCTCTAGTAAACTCACGGGAGAAGAAAGAAGAAAGAAAGATGCGTGAAAGTGACTTGATGAAAGTGAGATGACCGATTTGTGTAGGAGAAATGTCTCCAAGTTAGCTTACTTTGCAAGTTTATAACTTTTTCTACAACTTGACTTATAGCCGTCTTGCTTAATTCCTATTAGCTATTTAATTGACAAACTAAACCAAGGAACTCTTGATGGCAGCGTGGGATGTTTCTCCAAGAGGGATAACCAACTTGGATGTTTGCAATTTATCAAGTTTGTTTAATTGTCTACTTGTCATCTTTTGAATATTCAAACTACACTTTCATTGGTTTATTCTTTCAAGACTTTTCAACCTTAATTCTTATTGGTTATTTTTTATCTAACTTTGACCTTCTTGTAACTACAATTCCATGGCTGTATATGCAACACTCTTACATCGAAAATTTGATAAAAATCTCACTAAGTTAAGTTACATTCACTTTACATGTATATTTGTCCTATTTCAATTTCTATTTGTTAATTAATTTCAATACTTTGACTTAATTTTAAGAATTAATCTAGATATTGTAACACCCCGTTATCGGACCAGTGTGTTATTATCAATTATAATATTAAGCTCAGTTACAATTATAATAGTTCATTTAAATATAGGGGGAAACTTTTTCTTTTTTAATACCGCTTCACTTTTAAAATACTCGTAATAAATATTTTACAAACTGTGATCATAACTCAAAACTATTGTGGAAATATAAATACTATGGCTTAACATCATAAAACATGTACTTAGAGATGGTAAGTGGTTCCTATAAACCAAGAAAACATAATTACACAATTTTAAGTTTTTCAGACTTGAGGTGCCCTCAGTTTTTCTAAAAATGCAAATGGACTACTTGTCAATAAATTTCCATCTTTTAGTATGTTAAATTATACTCTTCTATCTTTCCAACGAGGTATCACACGCCTTAATTGGAGTTCCATAACTCTGGATATGCATGCCTTAAGTTAATTCCTCAAAACTGCCAACACTCTGAGCACAAGGCACCAAACATCCTTTACTATTTTTGGAACTGCTATCATTTTACTTATTCAATTGCTCTCAAATTTTTATATGGCATAATAGACACATAGAAATTTAATTTGATATATCATAATCCTAATTTGAGTAAAAAATGAAGGAGATACAATTTTTGGAAGTGGCAAACCGAGAGTAGTGCCATTTTGCCAGTTCTGGATAGTCTCCACTCATTTTGATACACAAGGTGTTCTACAACTCAGAATAACACTAAATTTTGGGACAGTATAAGGTACATCCTTACCTTTAAAATGAGGTATAGCATACCTCAATTACCAAATATGGAGGGAGATATGGTCTCCCAAAGTTAGGGTAAAAACTGCACCATTTTATCATTTTTGTACCTAATAGACATAGAATGACATCCAAAGGCCCAACAAACCTTGTTGCACTTACATCCTCCATTAAAATTTCATATTATCCATTAATTACCAATTATTACTTATTCCATGCATCAATAAATAATAAGAGCTATAAAGATATCTAATAGGCCTAAGCCCATCCATCATATCCATACATCATTAATTACATAACCATGATCCTCAAGTAACCCAAATTATAATTACAACAACTAACCAAATATAACTATTACATCATAACTTCAATGACAATATCAAATTACAATGTCCGATAATTACATCCCATTGAATTTAGTACAAAATATTGCATGAACATCATCTAGGCATGATACGTGTCAAGTCATGCAATAACCAATTTTTATTGTAAGAACCCGCACCGTTAAATTATAATTTTAGAAATTAAATGAGGATTATGATTTATTTATTTTAAGTAATTTAAGTTAAAGGACCTTTTTGAGAAAAAGGTCAATGTCGTGTGTTTCGCGGTAAAAACGTTGTGGGCAGAATTATCCAAAACTTAAAGATGATTAGTAATTATTATTCCATAAATTTTATGGAGTTAAAATGGCTACAAAATATTTATGGTAATATTCGTAGGAAATATTAATTATTGAAATTTAATCATTTTCGGTGAAAATGTCGATACTGTGGGTACTGCAGTAGAAACTACGAGTATAGAAAAATACCCGAAATTAATAGAGAGTTAAGTGAGTGAGGTGTGAGTCATTACCGGTTAACTTAATTGAATCTACCCTAAATAGGTTAAACCTACTCTCTCACCCTTATTTCCTCTCTTAACTCACGTAGGACGAGCCCTCCCTCACTCTCTCATGGCTGATTTGTGTTCCTCTTCATAGTTTCCATCATTTCTTCAAGAAACAAACCAAAGACATCATATTTCTTCTTCTTTTAATCACTCTATCATTGTAAACACCTAAGGCTAGTAGTTTAGGTGAGGAAAATCTCTATCTTGAGTGATAAAGATTCTACCTTGGAATCTTGAGTAGTTGTTTGGCAAGAAAGACACTACCTTTCTTCATTCTTTCACCCCCAAAACTTGTAAACATTGGAAAACTTGGGTCTTAAAGGAGAAAAACCTATTCTTTTGAAACAATTCTATTTGTTTTTAGATGTTGAACCATCTTTATTCATTGCTTGGAAGCTCTTTATGTAGAAAGAACCAACATGGATATGGTCATTTTCGTGTGCTTGGTTGGACAGAAGTGAGTAGTGTTTTAAGAACATCAAAGACCCTTCCTTTTTCTGTATAGAAGCTCATGGGTATATATCTTAACACTTTCCTTAATGTTTGTATGAAAATAACATGATTTGGAGATGTAAAATTATGAGTTTTGATAACTTGAATGTTGGTTGATGCACCTAAGTGTTAAAATGCATGCTAAGTTGATGGAATAGATGTATCTAGGTGAAAGATGATATTTTAATAGATAATTTAGTACCGGGCTGCTCTTTTTGGCCACTGTCGCGAAATATCCAAATATGATATTCGAATATTGACATCCGGATATCATATCTGGATATTGCGACAGCAGCAAACCTATTTTAGACGAGCTACATATCTCCAAATCGAGTGAGGTTTTAACCTATGTAAAGCTAACACATAGAACTACAACCCTGTATAAGTTTGTACCTTTAGATAAGTGGTTTAATCGCAGTTTGAGTTTGAAGTTGCAATTTGGTTGCTGGAAATTCAGTTAGCAGCAGTCACTTTGCGAAAAAATATAACCAGAGTAAATACAACTCCAATTGAGACATATAATATGTCGATAGAAAGCTTGAGATGTCTAGTGTAACATATTAAAATCTTATAATTTTTTGTAAAGATTTGCAATTGCAATTTTAAAAATGGTAAACAAGGTTTGTTATTGTATTCACAATTAAAGTAGTTTCTTTGGAATGAATTTCAAGGAAATGAATTGTAAACTCTATTGTGCTAGTGAGTGAGGTTCTACAAGGTATGGGACCCTACGAAGTTGATATAATTCCTCCCACCTTGAGTTGGTGTCCCTACATAAAGAATGATTACGTAAAAGACAACATTGAAATGAATGTCGTAAATGATTATAATTGCTAATTGCCTTTATATCTTTGAAATAAGTTGTGATTTTGTGAGGGTCTGTGATTGTGGTCCTTTGGATACTGAGAGTACATTGGAGTATATTGCTATAACAGGTAAACTTCATGTTCTCAGAGTTAATCCCTTGTTATTCCACCAAACTTCATGGGAGGTTGGTTTATGTGCATGGTATATTTTTGAAAATAATATCTGTTTACGTCATGATTATTTGATATATTATTGAACTAAAATCTGTTTACATCATAATTATTCCATATGAGACGGTAACACCTGAGTATATAGGCCACATACAAGATGGTAAACCCATGTGTGAGGTATGAAGTGGACTCCTTGTATTGTAGATTGCATACGTGTGTAATGCTTATCTTTTGTTCTCTGGCTAGTAGGATGCATATACATATGACATGGTCATATGATGCATTGTACATTTATTTTTACATACGGTTTATATTGTTTTGCATTTATATTTTACTTGTAAGTGAACTTGGGGATGAGTGATCCTTCGAGAACTCCAGTTTACTAAGATTTGTCCAAATATCACCTTGTCTGTGGCATATTTTTTAGGTGCAGATATTCATGAGATGGGTACCTCTAAAGGCAAGAGGTCGGAGTAGATATTCTAGCATGACATAAGACATGCATTGCTATAATATGTTTTTTATATATTCGAATGAGGCATGATTTCTATTTGACATGTTATGTTATGTTTGTATTTGTGATGAGCATAGGGATTGTCTAAGCTTTCTTGATCAAGCATGTTATTTTGATTAGAAAACATGTATAAGTTATGCTATTCAGTATTTGTAGTTGGTCATATGATGTAATAATATGATTAATCGTGTTAGTTATTATTTTGTAATATGATTTGTATGTGAGATGACCTAAATAAAGGATTGCTATGTGTCAAGATGTATGCACGTATCACTTAATCAAATCCCTTTAGATATGATAATTTAGGTGCCAAGGAAGGTACTAAATAGCTTAATTAAACCACATATATGGTTGACACACGTTGTATGTCTTAGGTAAGAACAACTAGGTACAGAATGAAGTGATACGGGGCAAGGGGTTGAATGCTAAACCTCTAGCCTGGAGAAAGATATTTCATTTCGCCACTATCATGGAATATTCGGATATGGCATATCTAATATGAATAAAGAGACAATACCAAATGATCCATTATAATTGCCAAATGGGCCAATCACAATATCAAGGGCCAAGAAGTTTAAGGAAGCCCTTAGTGGGCTGATTCAAGAACTGTAGACTAATCATGAAGACATCAAGTCCAAATCAAATCCTAATCGGAGTTTAGTCAATGCCATCAATGTAAGGGAGGTTGAGTGAAATTATTGGCATCAAAACAATAAAAGCTTAGTGGAGTTTATATTATTAAAGTAATAATAATTTAGTGGTTTATTTTGTCTTTTCCCCAATTGATGTGTCTTTTCCCCAAGTGATGTGTCTTTTTCTATTCATGGAGGGATGTTCCAAGATAGACTTTTAGTGTAAATGAAGGGATTAAGGCCTTTGTAAATAGGATTTGAAGTTATAATATCAATAGAGAGGCTTATTCTCTTTAGTTCTTATCTAGAACTCTG